TTTGGCATCATTTGTTTTCTTGATCTTAGCCAGTCTGACTGGGGTAAGGTGAAATCTTAAAGTGGTTTTAATTTGCATTTCCCTGATTATTAGTGATGTTGAACATCTTTTCCTTTTGGAAATTTTAAAAAAACAGATTCATCAACTAAAGTTTTAATGAAATTAACATGTAAATTGTGTTCATTTGTAAATTGTGATGTTATTTGGTGGGACATTCTTTCTAATTTTATTCTTTTTGACATGAGATTAAGAAAGCTATCAAAAAAACCCTATTTTGGAAATTTTAAAAAAACAGATTCATCAACTAAAGTTTTAATGAAATTAACATGTAAATTGTGTTCATTTGTAAATTGTGATGTTATTTGGTGGGACATTCTTTCTAATTTTATTCTTTTTGACATGAGATTAAGAAAGCTATCAAAAAAACCCTATATGACATGGGGAAGTGGGTAAGAAACTCCAACCTCACCAAAGGAACTGTTGGCAACAGATGGCCGTTGGGAGGGGCAGAGACAGTCTCTTTCAAGGATGTGATTCTTTGTAGGTTAACCAGGTTTCTGTGGATGGGCCCAGATTGAAGAACATTAGGGCACACAAATAGTATCTGTATGTCCAGTGTCAAATGATGAAGTTAATTATGACAGTCACATGTTATGCCTGCACTGGTCACTGCTCCTTGGGAGAGCCAAATGAGCTAGGATTTGTCATGGACAATTAAGGCAAAGCTGGCTTTCGCTCTAGTTAGGAACCTTTTTTCATAAAAAGACAGATTTCAGCTGCCCCTTCTCTGTTTCCCCTTGCTTTTTTTTTTGGATGTGCTGCTTGGAGCCACATCAGTCATCTTGTGACTAAGGGGGAATCCATAAGGATAGCAGATATAGCTGGCTCCACCTGGCCTTGATCCCAGTACTGCTGAAACAGTTCCAACAGACAAATTTTTATTTTGTTGAGTGATATAATAAATCAACATATTGTTTAACAACTTTGTCAATTTTTTTGTGTGTTTCTTTCAGTGGAAGGGATTTTTAACTAAAACATTAGTTTTCTTTATAATAAATTTGAATGGCTTAACATTTGAAGTTAAAAATCCTAGTTTAGGGTAACTTTTTAAAGTCTTTATACACATATATGTATATAATTTACGATGCTTCTACAGTAGTGGGCTTCCATATGACTGTTCCAAAAAGCCTTTAGTTTGTTAGCTCTCTCTCCTGTACTCTCTCCTCTACTTTGCCCTCCCTTTCCCTGTCCCATTTTTCCCTTCCTGTTCTGTTATTTCTCCCCCATTTATATCACTGCGTTACATCTTCCCTCCCTTAAAGTCCACATCCTTATGACCCTAGTAGTTTCCTGATCTCTATGGGTTTTCCAAATGCAACACACATATTTGAAGAATTGAAGCTAACATGAAATCCTACACCTAGCTGAGGAGCTATTGGTGATTGATAGTTGCTGGGGGAGGGAGAGTCAGTTTTCTTTGCAGCTATGACCGCTGGTAGGTTGACTGTGATGCAGGGAATGGACCAAACAAAAGTATTTTGGCAATGCAAGTTGAACTAAATGTTTTTTTTTTTTAAATGGACACCAAGTTGTGTGGGTAGGGAGGTAGGGATGGATCTGGGAGGATAGGGCAAGAGTCCGAACATGATCAAAATACCTTGTAGCAAATTCTCAGAGAATTAATGATATTATTTTAAAGTATTGACTTAGGACATGGCTCAGCAGTGCCTTCCTCTAATTCTCTCCACCTTATTTTTGAGGCAAGATCTCTCTCTAAACCTGAAGCTCATTAATTGGCTAGACTAGCTGGCCAGTGGCCACACTTATTACTCCTGTCTCTACCCTCCAGTGCTGAGATTACAAGCTTTATATGTAGTTCCTGGGAATCCACACTCAGGGCCTCAAATGGTGCTGCTGGGAAAACTGCATGTAGAACTAGATCCCTAGCTCTCAGTCTTAACAAAAATCGATTGTAAATGGATCAAATACTTTAATATAAAACCTGAAACTTTGAAACTGATACAGGAAAACATACGACAGCAAGGACAGTCTGGAAAGGATTCCAATAGCTCAGAAAATAACTGTACAAATCTAAGGATGGGCCTGGAGAGATGGCTCAGCAGTTAAGAGTGCAGTGTGTTCTGCTCATGCAGAGGACTCAAGTTCAGTTCCCAGCACCCATGTCAGGCAGCTCACAACCTCTATACCTCCAGCTCCAGGGGCAGCAACACCCTCTTCTGGCCTCTGCAGGCACCTGTACTCGCATGCACATACCCCCATACACATAATTAAAAATGATAAAAACAAAGAGTCTGTGGCCATACCACTGTGGCCATACCGCCCTGAATATATCTGATATTTTCTAATCTTTTATGGTAGTCAGGGTTGGGCTTGGTTAGCATTTGGATAGGAGAAAAATAATTGCAAGAATTGACAAATTTGACCACATGAAATTAAAAAGTTTCTATATAGCAAAGGAAATAATTTAGAGTGAAGAGACAGCTTATATAATGAGATAAATATTTTGCCTATTACATATGTCTGATAAAAGATTAATATCTGGACTATATAAAACCTATTCAAACCCCCAAATCATCCAGTCAGTAAATGGTTACATGATTTGAACACACAGTTATAGAGAAGAAATATAAATAGTCAATAAATATCTGAACAAATATTCAATATCTTTAGCCATCAGATAAATGCAAATTAAAAACTACTTTGAGATTCCCTCTCATGCTCTTCAGAATGAAACAACAACAAATGCTGGTGAGGACATGGGGTGAAAAAGAACTCTTACAGTATTGTTGGAGAGTAAACTGGTACAGTCACTATGGAAATCAGTATAGTGGTTCCTCGAAACTAAAAATAGAACTACTAATCCAGGTATACCACTCCTTAGACTCAACCTGTAATGGTTAGTGATCAGCTTGACAGAATTTTTAATCACCTAGGACATGGGCCTCTGGGAATGCATGTAGTGGATTATGTAGACTGTTGAGGTAGAAAAGAACTGACCATTGTGATTGGTGCCATTTCCTGGTTGGGATCCAGGACAATATAAATGGAGAGAGCTAAGGAGCAGCAAGTATTCATCACTCTATTCCTCATTGTGGATGCTATGTATCCAGCTGCTGTAAGCACTTGCTGCCTTTACTTCTCTGCCATGATGGACTGTACCCTTGAACCATAAGCCAAAATAAACCATTTATCCCTTAAGTTGCTTTTGTCAGATATCCTGATGTCAACATCAGGAAAGGAAACTAAGACAATGCCCAAAGAACTCCAAGTCAAGTCAACATACCATAGAGATAGGAACACATCCGTGGTGTGTGTGTGTGTGTGTGTGTGTGTGTGTGCACGTGCACGTGTGTGCACATGCACAGGTCATGGAATTAGAAAAGGAATCTTACAGATAGAGGAAATCTTTTAAAAATGTTATTTTTATTTTTATATGTATGAATGTATTGCCTGTATATATGTAAATGCACCTGTGTCATGCAGTGCCTGAGATCAGAAGAGACCATCAGATTCCCTTGGAACTGGAGTTATGGATGGTTGTCAGCTGCCATGTGAGTGCTGGGAATTGAACCCAGGTCATTTGCAAGAGCAGTCAGTGCAGTCAGATGGCTGAGCCATCTCTCCAGCCAGAAAGAAGAAATCTTAAATTTAATGTCGATTGGAAATCAAGGGTGTAATGTGATAAGGAAGAAGTGGAGGAGGGGGCTGGAGAGATTACTTAGCAGCTAAGAGCACTTGCTGCTTTTGCAAAGGATCTATGTTCAATTCCCAGCACCATCAGATGACTCAGAACCACCTTTTAACCACAGTTCCAGGGGTTCTTATGCCCCCATCTGGCCTCTACAGGAACCTTCAGTCATGTGATGCACATAGACAAGTAGGCACACACAGCATGGGTCTCAGCATCTCTGATGATTATTAGTTATCCTAGTTCTCAGTTATATATGCTACAATATTGCTTCCTTCAGTTTAAAACAATACTTGCAGTCAGAGTGTTAAAACATCACTACATGAAACTCTAAGACACTTGCTTTATCTCTTCATCACTTAAACATAATTTCAAAAGACAAACCTTAGCTCTCTTTAGACAATTGAAAGAATATGGTACAGACCAAATGTATCCCCTTGTGCTTAAAATTATTTTATGCTCAAATTTATAAAGTACTTAATGTAATTACAAAATTGAGATTATATGTACACTTTGTGTACATGTACAGTGAAGATTAAAACACCAACTACATGGATATTTGGGGAATATTTGCTGTTATATAGCATAGTTAACTCATGTTTTAAGTACAGAAAACTATGATTTTAATTCTGAGATGCGTTATGAAGTTCTGTATGTTGCATGAATTATGACTGTGCACTTTATTTTTTGCAGTGGGAGTCAATTAGGAGGTCTGATTACAGTAGTGTGCTACTTTTTCAATCATGGAGAGGTTTGTTTTCTAGACAATAGATTTCTTTAGGAAATAGATTGGCTACATATGAACAAGGGAAATACAGTCATCAAACTAGTATGATTATATATTATTTGTGACTACAGTACTTTATATTTCACATTGATGTTAATTATATTGATATAAAATCTTAAGTCACTAACATCTAAGATATGTAAAATATATTTTAGTAAACATTTACATACAAAAATTCTGTATAAACATGGCACAATGTACTCACTGAGCAGGTGATTTATATACAACATTTCATTTACTATTAATCCTTTTGATGTGGTTATTACATTCATTATACAAATTATGAGATTGAAATTTAGAAAATTAGGTTACTTAACCAAGAGTCTCTGGTCCTCTGTAAGAGCAGCAAGTGTTCTTAACCATTCAGACACAATGCAGTATTTTTAATAAATCTTATAGACCAGATCTTGCACAATGGGAACTTTATGCCATTGCGTTTCCCCAAGGACTGAAATGGCCCTGTCCTGACACTTGATTTTCTTTTCTATGTCTGCCTCCAAAACGTCTGTCTCTTTAAAATATATAGGATATATATGCATATGTATATATACATATATATATGCATACACATACATATGCATATATCTTTTCTTAATTTTTTTTGTGATGGTGTCTTAGTGTGTGTAGCCTAGGCTGGCTTCAACTGCTGGCCCTTCTGCCTTAGCCTCCCAACTGCTGGGAGCAGAGGTGTGTACCAGCATGCCTGGTTCTGGACTTTTTTATATTAAGAACACTTAGAATGAGGTCTTCCCTCCTAATAGATTTTAAATATTATAATATAGTATTTTTTAAAGATTAATTTATGTATGTGTATGTGTACGTATATGTGCACATGTGTGTACAGATGACCATGAAGTCCAGAAGAGGGCATTGAATCCCCTGGAGTTAGACTTGTAAGCAGTCGTGAGCTGCCTGATGTGGTTGCTGGGAATTAAACTCTGGTCCTCTGTAAGAGCAGCAAGTGCACTTAACCATTGAGATACAATGCAGTATTTTTTAAGGGGCAAAACACTGTGTTATTTGTTGTCATCACCACAAGCAAATTACCCTAGACAATGATGTGGGCCAATTTATCACAAAGGGTACCATAATTTTCCCTGCCACTTTTTTGGTGTAACTTTCTTTCAAAGCAAGCTTCAAAGCACATGAAGAGGGAGGCACTTCTAATTTAAAGAGAAAACTAAAGCCACAGTCAAATGTACACGGAAGTTCTTACTTTCTCCTCTCAGAGCCTAATATCCTAAACAAATCTTTAAAGTACTGCGGAACACAGACCACCACATTCTTGGAGGGGTGGATGTCTTTCATATGGGGGTAGAGTCTGGCATCGATGACCTTGATACAGCCTACACAGTTAAATTGGTGAATCATAGCAATGCAGTATTTTTAATAAATCTTGTAGATCAGATCTTGCACAATGGAAACTTTATTCCATTGCCTTTCCCCAAGGACTGAAATGGCCCTGGCCTGACAACATGCACATAGTTGAGGCCCCCCTCCCACTCCTTTCCTTCTTCATTACTGTTGTGCTTCCTTTTCGGTCATACACATGGTGAATTCAAAACAGAATTAAGTTAGCAGTTTATCCCAAATGGATGGACTTTGCCTAAAGAGTTCATAGAAATTCGTTTAGGATGTGATGGAGTCATGTAAAATGCTTTAAATTTATGCCTTGTCATTTATGTTTGACTTAAAATGAATGCCTTGTCATTCAACAATCTGTTTGCACAAAAAAATCTTTTATTTGAATAATGGACATTAGTGGACTGCATGCATACATATATTCATATCATAATTCTTTATGAAGGTTTACAAGTCTTAGAATAACAATAACTTTTTAAGGCTCTTAACAAAGTATTAAGAATCATAGAAAGTAAAAAGAATTCTATCAGTTTGGAATTTTCAATGTAAAATTTTATAATATGCTGGTCCACACATCTCAGAATTAGTCTGAAAGGTATATATGAAAGTTTAATAGCTGATTTTATTATGGGCATCACAATGATTCTCAGGACTTTGGGTTGTTTTGAAAACTCACATTTGCCTCATTTAAATGTGCATTTTATTAACTAAGAGCCTATTATTATTATTTGGTCTTTTTTGAGACTGTCTCCCTGACTTTGCTCTCACAGAGATCTCCTGAGTGCTGGTATTGAAGGCATGTGCCACCATGCACAGTCCTTAAGAGCCTATCTTTAATAGATTGCAATGTATATCTATAACAGTTTGAATTGTTATGTTTAAATTCTTGGTATTTGCAGACAACCTGCATGATACTGATCAAGATGTTTTCCTGGGCAGACCATGTATCTCAAAGCCCTTGATGCCAGGGTCATGCCTACAGGCTGAGATGTGGCTCTGGTCCTGGAGTCCTCACAGCCCCTATCCCACTTGGTGGTCTCTTGTTTTACTTCTGTGTCATCTGATACATTTTCTATTTGTTCCTGGGCTTGACTGTTAATAGTGCTCTCCTTAATGGCAATGTGTGAGGAATTTCACATATGCTAAGTTATGCCAGGCATTGAGAAACAGAATCTAATGAGCCTAGTATTAAAATCGTGAAAGCAAACTGACCCCTGATTTTTAAATGAATATTGTTTGATGTAATGGAACTTGATGCAAATTGTTTTATTGGATCCAGGCCACCCGTGTAATGTGGACACCACCTCTTCGTGAAAGTTTCTCATATCCATTCTTTGTACTTCAGATGTATATTTTAACTACAATTCTCAGGTAATTTTGGTCATAAGACAAAGTTAAATTATTCTGTTGTCTCTTTTAAAAATTTGCTTTAACCTACTGTTATAATTACCAAATTTTGGTTATGTGTCTAAGTTATTTTAAAAAATAAACTGAGTATACAGTTAAGAGAATCCAAACATAAGTTTAAAAAATTTATCTCTAAAAAGATTAGGTTATATGTTTTAGATAACAATACTATGTTCTAAGAAATCAAAATATATCCCATACACAGTTTTCAAAGACACAAAGATTTTCAAGAAACAACTACTTTCTGTTTTCAAGGCTTATGTATTCTGACTCATTGATTCCAAAACTGTGGTTTTGAAGGAACATTAACTATGTGCCATGAAACAGGGCTCTGTGTTCAAATGGATTTGGGAAATTGTGGGTTATACAGCTAAGAATTGTGTACACATATAAGAAGCACATGAATGACGTATATACACATAATAAATATAATTCATTTCCAAATGACGTTTCTAACAGTTCAACTGGTTTCATCTCACTTATTTTCCTGTACATGTTTTGTTTTGTTTTGTTTTTTGAGACAGGGTCTCGTCGTGTGGCCCTTGCTAGCCTAGAAACCCCCATGTAGACCAGGCTGACCTCGAATTCACGGAGATCTGCCTGCCTCTCCTTTCCGAATGCTGGGATTAATGGTATGTGCCTTCATGCCTGACTTTCCTTAGACACTTTTTGTGTGCATTAAGTTGATAAGCATTTCAGAAAGTTAAAAAGTCTGAGACTAAAAAGTAGTACAAAACTGTAACTTTATCATATAAATAAGTCTCATAGACTGTTAGTGAGATATGTCACTGAATGAACTAGCAATCAGTATTCTCCTCTGAACCTCTAGAGAACATACCATAGTTAATCTAATCTCTGGAAGATTCCATTTTATATGAAAATCATTCCCTCCTTCCCTCCCTCCTTTGTCTCCCTCCCATCTTTCCTTCTCACCCTTCTTCTTTCCCTTCCTCTCTCCATCCATCCTTCCCATCCTTCCTTCCTTTCCTCTGTCCCTTTATGGCACCTTCCTTTTTCTGCAAACTTGTGCATCATGCATACATACTTAGACATCTGTATCTCCATTACAAATATTTAAAGATACCAATGGAAGTAGATAGTATGTCACATTTATGTCTTTAGCCACAGACCTCTTAGCACACTCCCATGAAAATGTTTAAGACATTCATGTATTAGCTAATTGAATGAAAATAGATAGTACATCCTACAGTCCCTACAAATCTTGAGAACAGAGGCCTCCTGATATGTTACAAATTTGGTGGACATTTTGTAGTTGAATTTGAATTTGGGAGTCTGTTTCCTGTTCGTATTTCTATATTTATTCATTATGTTGTCTCCTCTGAAAAATTATGGCGAAGGAAGCTGCCCCCTCTCTTCTCAGTTAAATTCCTAGAAGACGTGTGTGTGTGTGTGTGTGTGTGTGTGTGTGTGTGTGTGTGTGTGTGTGTGTGTGTGTCCAGCTGGGGAGTTCATACAATGAAGTGTGCTACTTAGGGCATTTTGGATCAGACCCTTGAAGGCATTACTCCACCTTAATGAAAGCAATTTTGTTTGGTAAAATACAAGATTACCAAATGCTTAATGACTGTTTTGTGAAAATATTACTAAACAATATAAACACTAAAAATTTTACTCTTGAAAACTTACTCCTCTTGTAGAAGGATTTATCAAACCCAGTATAACTTCTTAAAAAGAACAGTATCTGTTTTTCTCTTTGTGAAAATGCTTACATTTATTTTTCATATTCTAAGAGATACTTAAGCATTTCTTTGGTAAAAGGTGTTGGTTACTAATGTTTTAGTATTACAGAATATACAATTTATGCTTCAGTAATTCAACTGTGCTCTAGAATTATTTTTTAATTTGTTGTTTTAAGAAGTTTCTCCTTATTTTCCTCCATAATTAAGACACACCACACTAGCACTTGCCCTTTCCCTCGCTCCTCTCTGCATCTTGTAAATGATGGATGTGAGATGTACTGTTCTACATGCAGGCTCACGGTCTGTCAGGCCGGGTACTGATCTTTGGCTGGACAGTTAAAGTTTGAATGGGAAACATACTTCATTAGAAAGAAATAAACCTGTATATTAAAATCTTTTATTTCATGAAAAATATACAATATTGTTTCTAATCTTGATTGTTTCTAATTTCGAGTATTTAAGCATTTCTATGGATTCAGTATTTTAAATTAGATTAGTAGACATTTTTAAGCTTATACTTTGTTTTATCATATAAAAGATAAGGAAATCTCTAGATTTTTACATTTTACAAGGACTCTTTTTCATTTTGAGTTACTGGGTATCTTTATGGCAAAACATATTGGTGTCATTTTTTTCTTCCCTAAGGACCTCGAACATTCATAAAAGACAATACATGGCTCTCTGTTTTTCCAATGTTGCTTTTATGCTTCCATGGCAATTTGCTCAGTCCATACTTTTTACACAGGTAAGATGGTTTTAAACTAATTTAAGCTTAATGCAGGGTATAACCTGTTGTTTCTACAGAAGGTTATAGAGTGTTTGTCTTATTTTGTTTTTTAAGGCTAGTCTCAAGTTCACTATGTAGCCTGAACTGAATTTGATGTTAAGATACTCCTGCCTTCACCCTCCAAATGCAGGGATTACTGAGGTGCACTACCCCCCCCCGCCTGTCTATAGACGTTTTAAAACATGATTATATTTATGCCCTAAAAGACTATCAAAATCAGGGGTAATATAAAGTCTATATACATAAATGTATTCTGGTTGCTTTGTATGAGGAGTAGAATTCTACCAAGAACCATTTCTCAGAGCTTTAACCATGATGTTGCTTATGTGGATTGAAGCCCTATTCTGTTTCCCAAAATATTTGTGTAACCGATAGCAAGAAATTAAGCTGGAGCCGGAAGTGATGGGGCACATGTTTATGGGGCTTTTAGATTTTCTTAACTAAAACATGCACTTAATGTTTGTGTTTGCTTTTACATACCAATGGGAAGATTCAAAGTTTTTTTTTTTTTTCTGTGAATATACTAAGATTTTTTTTGGTCTTTTTTTTGAGACAGAGTCTTCCTGTAGTCCCAGCTGGCCTGGATCTTGCTGTGTAGGCCAGGCCTCAATCTCACAGAGGTCAGCCTGCCTTTGCCTCCTGAGTGCTGGGATTAAAAGTGAGCACCATCACTCCCTGCTCAAGATTTCATTTTTGATGAAGGTGAAAATTAGTTCCTGATGCCTACAGAATTGGAGATAAGCACAAAATGGACTACATTAATAGGGTAACATTGTGAAAGACAGTCATAGGATCCTAGAATATTTGGCACGACATTGTGAAAGAGTCATAGGAACCTAGAATATTTGATAAGACAAGGTCTTGGATATTAAATTTCAAGATGCTAAGAACTTTGTCAGCTAGATTTTAATTTATAATTTCTATATTTATCCTGTTTAGTTATGGAATCTCTAGATGTGCTGGAGAGATCGTTTTGACAGGGAAAAGGGAAGAGATCAGAGCTAAAGGAGTTTGAAAGCAGGAAATTGTAGAAATGACTCGTTTTCAGACAAGATAGTGTTGGCATTTTATACAAAGTTGGTTATCCAGTTTTCTTTATAAGACTGAATCCTTGTTTGGAGTGTATAACTAGTTCACATCTTTTGTAATACTTCAGTCTGTGTGATTCCATGCCCTCATGCTATTGATAACAAGAGTGTCTCCACCCCCAACCACCCTTAGACTTTTTCTTCCTGTCTCCAGCAAATCTGTTTGGTCAATGATCAGTTCCATATGTTCCAGCCTTTTTGTTCCAGCCTAGGAACCCAAAAGTAGACTGCCTGGGTCTGCAGGGCTGTGTATCCATCATGGATTCTGGGTATGGAAGACAGCACCACATGGCCTCTAACAAATCGCTTTCCTCTTCTGCATGAGAATGTGTCCTTCCAGTAACTTCTCAGCTCTCTTCTCTTGGACACTTGTTAATGTGGTATGTCCATTATGTTGCTAGCACATTGATTGATGACTGTTTAATTGTTCCTGGTCTGGAAGGACTCAAAATAAATGAATCTACTGAGAGGATCGGCACACTTAGGGCTTTTTTGAGTAAAGAGACTCTTAACCTATAAATTAATTTTTAGCATCAGCTTACAAAGTAACCGGTTTCCTTATGGTGTTTTCATACATACTTGAGTTTGATTATTCCTAGCCCCTTTCCTATTCCTGCCTCATCTTCCTGACCTCCCTCCATCTTCACTCCTCCTCCATCTTCCTAACACCCTTTCTGCCCTTCCCTCCACTGCAGTACTCTTCCAGTCCTTCTATCTCTTATTTGCATTAATATCTCACATATGCTATTTTCATCCCCATGCCTCTCCCTTAAAGTCTCTTTTTAGTCTGCCTCCTGGGCCCCTTTTGGTTTCCTGGTCTCTGTACATACTTGCTCCCACATAAATTCAATTATATAAGAAATTAGAATCTACATGAGGGAGAATATATGGCATTTGTTTTGATTACCTCACTTAATATTATGTTTTCAAGTTCCATTCATATTCCCACAAATTTCATTTTTTTATGGATGAATAAAATTCCATGTGGTGACTGGAGAGATGGCTTAACTGTTAAGAGCACTGGCTGCTCTTGCAGAGGACCCAGGTTCGATTTTCAGCACCCACACAGCAGCTGGCAACCATCCATAACTTCAGTTCCAAGGGGAAATCTGATGCTCTTTTCTGATCTCCTTGGGCACTGCATGATGTGGGTGCATTTACATACATGTAGGCAATACACTCATGTAAAAATGAAAGTAATAAAATAATTAAATTCCATTGTGTCTGTGTACCACATTTCTACTACTCATTCATCTGCTGATGAACATCTATGTTGGTTCCCCTTCCTTGCTATTGTGACTGGAGCAGCAATAAACAGGGATGTACAAGTGTGTCTGTGACAGGATGTAGAATGCTCTGGGTGTATGCCAAGGAAGTGGTGTAGCTGGGTAATATTATAGCTACATTTTTAGTTTGTTGAGAAGCCTCCACATTGATTTCCATGGCTACGCTAGCTTACACTCCTAATAATAGAGAAGTGTCCCTCTTTCCCCACATCCTTGCCAGCAGTTTTCATGGTGGTAGTCATTCTGACTGGGGTGAAAAGGAATCTCAATGTGCTGTTGATTTGCATTTCTATGACATCTAGGGAAGAAGAACACTTAAAAATTATGTATTGGCCATTTGTATTCCTCTTATTGAGAAATGTCCAGCTCATTAGCACACTTACTGATTGATGATTTGGCTTTGGTGTTTAGTTTTTGCAGCTCTTTATATATTCTATCTATTAACCCCTTGCCTGCAGTATATCTGGCAAGTGTTTTCTCCCATTCTGTAGGCTGTCTGTTCGCTCTGTTGATAGTTTGGTTTGTTCATGCTGAAGATTTTTATTTTCATGTGATTCCATTTGTCAGTTCTAGAGACCATATTCTTTGTTATTGGAGTTTGATTTTGAAATTTCTTGCCTATTCCTACTTCCTGAAGTGTTTTTCCCCATGTTTTCCTTTAGCAACATTTCTGGTTTTAAATCAGTCTTTGATCCAGATCTCATTTCATTCTCCAGCATGTGACATCGAGTTTTCCCTGAACCATTTGTTGAACAGGCTGTCATTCCATATGTGCTTGACAAAATTAGGTTTCTGCAGGTGTATGACTTTACTTCTGGGTTATATAATATGTTTCATTGGTCTACATGTCTGTTTTTGTGACAGTACCATGCTGCCTTTGCCACTATGGCTCTGTAGTATAGTTTGAGGTCAGCTGGCATGATGCTTCTGGCTGTCTTGTTTCGCCTTAAAATTGCTGTGACGATATGTGGTGTTTTGTGCTTCCATTTCATTTTAGGATTTTTTTTCTAGTTCTTTGAAGAAATGTCACTAGAATTTTGATGAGGATTACAGTGAATCTGTAGATTGCTTTTGTAGACTAGTCATCTTCACGGTATTAATTCTACCAGCCCAGGACGATGGAGGATGTTTTCATTGTCTAATTTCTTTTTATCAGCGTCAAAGTTTTTCTTATAGAGGGGTTTTTGCCTTCCTATGATTGAGATATTTTCTTGATTTATTTGTCAGAAAATTAGTTATTGGTACACATAAAAGGTACTGATTCTCAAATGTTCATTTTTTTTATCTTGTAGGTTTACTTAAAGTGTTTCTGATTCCAACTGTACTTTTTGTTTTGTTTTTGGTGGATTCATAGGCCTTTACATATAGAATTAGATTGCTGCTAGCAAGAATAGTTTAACTTCTTTCTTTGCAGTTTTTATTCCTTTTATTCTTTGTCTTATTTTATTATTATAGCTGAGACCTCGGGTGTTCTATTAAATGAGAATGGAGAGAATGGGCACTCTTATCTTGTTCCAGAATTTAGAGGTAACGCTCAGTCTTTTCATCAGTTAGTATAATGTTGGTTATAGGTTTGCCTTAGATAGCCTTTATTATGTTGAGATATTTTTTGTTTGTTCCTAGATTTTTCAGGACTTTTATCATGAAGGCATATTGAACTTTGTCAAGTGAGTGCCTTTTCTGCATCTATCAAGATGATAATGTGATTTCTGTATTTAATTCTGTAATATGCCATGCTACATTTATTGATTTATGTATGTTGAACCAACCTTGCATCCCTGGGATGAAACCAACTTGGTAGTGATGTATGATCTAAACAATTCATTCTTGAATTTGGTTTGATGAGTATTTTTTTTTCAATCTCAGTTCGTCAGGAAGATTACTCTGTAGTTTTTAAATTTTGCTGTTGTCTTAAATTTTGTTTTTGTATTTCTATCCAGTTTGGGTATCAGAGTTTTACTGGCCTCAGGGAAATTTGGTAGTGTTCCTTCACTTTCTATTTTGTGGAACAGATTGAGGTGTGTGTGTGTGTGTGTGTGTGTGTGTGTGTGTGTGTGTGTGTGTGTGTGTGTGTGTGTGTATGTGTGTGTGTGTGTATGTGTGTGATTGCTTCAACCTCATGGCTTGTTATGAGTTTTTTTGGATTGTTTATATATTCTGGCTTTGATTTTGGTAGGTCATATACATTTAGAAATTTATTCCAAATCTTCCAACTTGTTATAAAATAAGTTTTCAAAATATTACATAAGGATCTTCTGGATTTTGTTTGAGCCTGTTGTAATAACTCTTTTTTGGTCTCTAATTTTATTGATTTGGGGGTTTCTCTTTCTTTTGGTTAGTTTGGCCAGAAATTGGTCAATATTGTTACTCTTCGTAAGGAACCAACATTCTTGTCTGATTAGTACTATGAATTGTTCTCTTAGTCTCAGTTTAATTAGCTTCTGCATTAATTGTGATTATGTTTTGCACTGCTTTGGGGCTTAAGAGATTCTTGCTTTTCTAAAGAGTTGAAGTACATTGTTAAGTTACATAGTTGAGGTTTCTCTGATCTGTGTGTGTATGGTGTATGTGTGTGAATGTGTTT